GTAACCCAAATTTAATATACATGGGTTTGGGTCAACACGAGAAGGTAGTTGAGATCGTTGATGACATGAAAGATAGGGGTATCTGTCTCAATTATGTCAGTTACGGTCTCTGGCTGAGGAGTTCTAGCGGAGCTCGAGGGGACGATGTCATATACGACTTGCCCTACGATAATGGTAAGCATTTTCTTAAAACGGTTTCACGGATAAATAAAATTGGCATTGTAGTCACTTACCACGACAAGGTTTAGGCGGCGTTAGCACAATTAATTTCGGTATCTTTATGACTTTATGATTGTCTGGACTTGTCATGGATATTTGTCTATTTAACTTATACTTTCGGCTTTCTTCTTATTAAGTATGTTTGTGTCTTAACAATTAAAGTACGGCTTGCTTTCAGATTCTAAAAAAAGATTAGCTTTCAGATTAATGGTGGAAAAAATAATAGTAGTTTCAACGAGATGATGGCTCAATAAGCAACTTGGTCACATATTACAATGCCGTCTCAGATTTTTGTTTTACTTTATTTTGGCAATGATCTTGTCTCAGTCATCCCAACATAAGTTTTTTGATAAATGACGTAAACAGTATGGAGGCAATTCGGAACAATGAATCCCTGTTGGGAATGGAAGACTCAGCCATAGAAGAGAATAATCATGTAAATGAAGTCATTAGATGCATCCTATTGGGTTGCTATGTGTTCAAAATAATCTTGTATGTCTTCTAACCATGTCTACAGTCTTTCATATGCTCACTAATACTTAAATTACTTTTCATGTGTCTCAACTGCATGAATTAGATCTAAGCCAAACCCATTAGCTGAGAGATTGTACCCTGGTCCATCTACTAGCATATTGATCACATGTGTTAGTCCTCATTGAAAGCTAGGCTAATGTTTGATATGTATATCTTTCATAAACCACTTACTAATTTTTTGAAATGGAATATCTCAGGTAACGATTATCAGCCATAGATTTGGAACTCACATGGTTTGTCAAAAACAAAAACAAAAAAACTATTGTTAAAGAATTCTTCAATAAAGCCTAGCTAATATCAATTAGTCAGGAAGGATGACTTAAGAATTCAAAGTCTCTCGCGTTAACATCTTGAGAAAGATCTTGCAATGTGAACAGCAATTATTAATGTGCATGCGTAAGAAATTCAACTTCTGATTTAGTTGATAAGAATAAGAGATACTAAAACTGACACATATGAACAATCTAAAGAAAAAAAAAACTAGCCAAGAAGAGCTTTCTAATAATCCTTCGTTTCGTATTCTTCATAAACTGACGTGTTATCCCAACCTTAGTTGGAAATTTTTACA